CCACGTGAAAGTGAAACCTGAGCGGTGAACTAATTTTCGGCAGCCGAAATTTCGGTGCATCTCTAATTATTGGCGACATCAGAAATGGATATTATATAATAGCTGCTTTTTTGAACATTTTAGCAATTTAAAAATATTAAAAAAAGATTTTTTACACGGCACCCCTGCTCTCGACAGACCCCGGTTGGGAAACACTGGTCTGAATAATGGCGCGAGCTGGGCTTGAGGAAGTGACGTCGCCTGCGTCTGCGCAGTGCGACCTGATGCAGCCCCTGAAGCGAGACACAGGAAACAGAAATACTGCAAAATAATAATAATAACGAGACGAAATAACGTTATAACATTTTTGTTTCGTCTCGTTTTGGTCAACGAAAATGAAGAGACATTTTAGCATAGTTTTTATTTTGTAAGCCACATTTCGTCTCGTTTTTATTCGTCAACGATATTGCATTGTACATTTAATTATCGTCATCGTCACATGACCAGCATGTATTCATTAAGCAGGTGCAATTTTCCGAATTAAAATCAGTGTTAGCATAGAGATGATGGTCATCGCTTTGGTTATGTTATGGATTGGTTTACTGTCTTTATATCATAATAATGCACTGCAGTCAGACGTTTGTCTTGTGTTCTTGCTCTTCTTTTGGGTCACTATTGCCCCCTTCAAAATGTCAACTTTCCTCCTACTGTTCAGTTCCTTCTCCATCCAAATGCAGCCACAGGACCTCTGCTCTTCCACTTCTTTACAAACCACCGAAAAGCACCAAATATCTGATTTAGATGAGCTAAATATGTATAGAACATGTGTAATTGATACCCTTTTAAAGATGTGCCCCTCCAAGACAAGTCATGACATGATGATACATTAACAAGTCATGAATTAATGTTACTTAAGTAATTAATGATGAGTTAGTAATAATGTGCCCCCGAAGTAAAGTCATGACATAATGATACATTAACAAGTTATGAATTAATGCTACTTAATAAGTAATTAATGATGAGTTAATAATAATGTGCCCCCCGAAGTAAAGTCATGACATAATGATACATTAACAAGTTATGAATTAATGCTACTTAATAAGTAATTAATGAGTTAGTAATAATGTGCCCCCCCCCCCAAGTAAAGTCATGACATGATACATGAACAAGTCATGAATTAATGCTACTTAATAATTAATGATGAGTTAGTAATAATGTGCCCCCCGAAGTAAAGTCATGACATAATGATACATTAACAAGTCAAGAATTAATGCTACTTAATAAGTAATTAATGATGAGTTAGTAATTTAAGTTTACAATTGTAACATACAATGTCATAACATTTTGATCTGAACAAAATAAGTACATCTGCTTAATATCAATGAAAAATAAAGTGCTTGCAGGATTTCTAAAGAAAACTATTTTAAAACAATAAAATAAATACATATGTTAAACATTCCCAGAACCTTTCCACTTGGATCCCACAGGTTTTTCAGTTTGTATTTATGTTCCGCGTGGAATCGCCGAGACCGCGATGCGAGCACCGCCCCAACTGCACAAAACGCCCCACCACGAGAAAGCTGCAGCCGCGCCCCGTGCGAGGCTCTTCACACGGGACGCGGCAAGCGGCGGAACCGAGGAGGCGCCCGCGCCACGGTCCCGCGGTGGACGTTAAAAGCCATATGACGCCACACTTCAGCTTTGTATGCCGAAACGGGAACTGGAACAATTCTTTCATCCTCCATTACTAGCAGCGAACTATATTAACGCTAACATTAGTGGTGTGCCCTAATGCTAGTACTTCCTGTCACCGTCTAAGTTCAGAGATGAAGACTGCCATCTAGCGGTCGGGATATAAACTCAAAACGAAACAACTGCCATGAATCTTGTATGTTTTTTTTTTAATAGATATTCAGTTTTTGAGAATAATTACAGTATTGCCAACCAAAATATCGCGATACTCACGTGTATCAATATTTTCTTACACCCCCTAGAATTAATGTTACTTTATAAATAATGAATGATGAGTTAGTAATAATGTGCCCCCCCCCCCTTTGTGTCATTTTCATACATCTTGCTTCTAGAGCATGTTTGATTTAGTTTACCCCAAAGTGTTAATTAATACATTAACTAACATGCAGGAACTACCATGTAATTAAGGTAGTGTTATTCATGCAGTAGTTCATATGACTCATGTCGTAGTTAAGTTAGTTCTTCATTAGTTCTTGATTAATACATATCAACTCATCATTAGTTCATAGTCAAGTAATTATTAATTCAGGTATTAGTACATGATAATTCATGTACTGTTATTGTAAAGTGTTACCCACAATACAAATGATATGTCTTTTCATGCATTATGGATAAATATAGAATGACTATATAGTGCATAAAGTAACTGTGCTGTGTGCATGCCAGGCCTGACACAGTTTGGAGTGGGTCTGTCTGTTGAGAGATGGTGGTGTTCAGGAAACCTGTTTGGAAACAATCAGCCTTTTTGCAGTTCTGCTTGGTGACGTTAGTGGTGCAAAAATTATAATTCACCCAAAAAATACAATCCTGTCGTTATTTACACAACCTCATCGCCAAATCTGTATGGCTTACTTCTGTGCAACACAAAAGAAGATATTTTGTTGTTTGTAACTAAAACCATTGACTTTCATTGTATTGACAAAAAAACACTGAGGCATTCCTCAAAATATCTTCTTTTGTGTGAGCACAGTAGAAAAATGATGAATAAATGATGAAAGAATTTAAATTTTTGGGTGAATTATCTCTTTAAGCCTTTAAAAAAGAAAATGTGACTAAAATATTAGGGCTGTCAGATGGTCACAAAAAACAGATTTTATGATTTTTTTTTTTCTTTTTCTTTTCGAAAAACAAAGTCCAGCATAACATAATTTTGGGTCACATTGACCTAGAAACACATTTAGAGTTGTATTCACTAAATAAAAGACTCTCACAATATAAATATGATTATTCTCTGAACCTTTGCTAAAATATTATAATAATTTAAATGTTTCCTCTGTAATTTTTAGTGCAGTAAACTCAAAATGTTTCTCACTGATATCAAATTGTTGGAGCAGATGGAGCATTGAAAGTACAGGTTTATGGTATATGAAACCCTAATGAAAGGACCATTTACATAAAAAAAACAGTTATTTACTTTATGGCTCTAATATAATTACAACTTTTAGAAATACTCAATTTTTGTAGTGCACATCCAAATTTATATAGTTTGTAGATTAGAGTCTGTACTTCTCAGTCCTATTTGTGATGAGTATCTTTAAGATTGGGTTGTATTTCCACAACCTTTTCTGCTACAAATGTACTGCTGTGTTTCCAATCTTCTGCACTGCCTCCCTGTGAACCTTCAAGTGTCTTCTGTGCCACGCTGTGGCCTCTAAGTAAGTGTGTAGTCATGTAATTGGTCGCCTCTATTTTGTAAGACTTGCGTGTAATCAGTGTCTCCCCTGTCTTTTCTTCAGCTGCTGAACTCCGAGCAGAGTTCTTTGATCCTTTGCGAGACGCTGATTGAGATGGTGTACGGCGAAAGAGGACAGGTCCTCAAGTCTAAGGAGCGAAAAGTCTTTCTATTCGGTGACATGCTCATCTGTGCCAACATCAACATCAAGTACGTGTCCCGGACAAGGTCGATTGACTTTCTTTTTGTCCCTCCGTCCCGCCTCTAAGGCCACGCTGACGGATTGAAACTCATCAGCCGATTTAAATACAGACTCCTGAGTCTCCTGAAGCATTATTGTGACGTTCCCCAATATGCCGCAGTCAATGTGAGGGGGTTAGCTGCTAATGGCTAAGGCACAGGACAGAATTGGGCAGAGTCAAATGGGCCTTCATTATCTGGGAACAAATAGCAGGGTGTTTAGCTACAACGACACAAATTATCCCCATAGATCACAGGCATAAAGGCGCTCCTCTGTTCCACTCAAATAGATTATCTATGACAGCACCATTGATCACATCTCAGCAGTGCAAAAGGTAAACAGCTAAGTGAAAAAGCTCACGCTGATGATGAATCTCAAAGCTTTTGAGCTAGTCCTTCTACTGCAGCCTGGTATGTCTCTGTTCTACTAAAGCGTGACTTGACATGCCCATTTAGAAGATCTTAAAGAGGTGATCGCAATGTTGATCCTACATTACAAGAATAAAAGAATAATAAGAAACCCTCCAACTAGCTGGAGGTCCAGCCCTTCACAATGTGCTTACAGCTGATCTGTAAAAAATCAGAACAGAATTGGAGAAATTTAGCATTGCATTACTTGCTCACCAATGGATGAGCAGTAAATGGGTGCTGTCAAAATGACTTCAAACACCTTATAAAAACATCACAATAATCTACAAGTAATCCACATAACTCCATCAATTATTGTCTTGTGAAGTGAAAAGCGTGTTTGTAATAAATCCATCATTAAGATTTTTTAACTTCAAATTATTGCTTCAAATCCTCTGTCCATAATGTTGCTTTTTCTGGTTTTTAGCAAATTTTTGGGTGAACTATTCCTTTAACAGCAAGTCTTGTCTGATACCCAAAATCAGTTAACAAAACTTAAAGGGAATGAAAAATTTAAATTCTGTCATTAATTACTCACCCTCATGGGCAACATTAGTGGGGGGCAAGGGGGGCAACTCATATCATTAGTCATGGAATCCCCGATGTCAGCCCTGCTGCAATTGGAGCGGTTAGCCAAGCCCAGGCCCGGTACTAGACAGCGCTAAATACCCTCAAACGAAAGCACAAGCAATTTAAGATCTGGCAAACTATCCAATGTGTTTTTGCAGCATTGAGCAATGTTGAGCAATCACAGACATATCTGTTGATTTCTTCAACGCAATGGCCAATCAGAAACATTTGAGTTTTCAAAAATCCCTCACCTCTGAAAGCGGCGGAGTTTTGCACGCTCGTGAATCATCTCATAAGCGCAGATGTGATGTAAATAAGAGATTCATTGTGTAGTTTAGAGAGCTTCATTGATTATAATGGAACGTTGTGACATCGCAATGAACTAAGATGTGTGATGTGTCTAGTGATAATATTGAGAGCGCGCTTTGCGTGCTTTCTAAGCTATAATCCATTCAGAATTTGTATGAAACTTCAGTTTTTCGGACACATACATGCTGCAACGTTTTGGGGTATGACATCCGCATATTTATTCTGGATTCATTCTCGAAATAACAGTGATTGACACAGTGATTTACATTTACATTTATTTATTTAGCAGGCGCTTTTATCCAAAGCGACTTACAATTGGGGAATACATCAAGCGATTCATCATAAAGAGGCAAATAGACACAGGAAGTGCTCGTCATCTGGTGATAACCAAAGCGATGGACGGGACAAAAATGCTTCAGTGATTTATTCTGGAACCGATGCTTGTCTGCGATGCTTGGTAGGGCCCTCTGACTCGAGTCAAATGTAGCCCATGCTCACCCTCATGTTGTTCCAAACCCGTAAGACTTTCGTTCATCTTCGGCACACAAATTAAGATATTTTTGATGAAATTCGAGAGCTTTCTGACCCCACCTAGACAGCAATGCAACTACCATGTTCAAGGCCCAGAAAGCTAGTAAGGACATTGTTAAAATAGTCCATGTAACATCAGTGGGTCGACTGTAATTTTATGGGGAAGGGAAGGGCAGAAAGCAAGAGATGAATTGATGAATATAAAAACTAAGCAGGGTTTATTAAATAATATTTGCATATGCTTAAAGCTCAGACTTCATCCCTACTTCATTTGGACTGTGTTTAGACACAACTTCATCCTGTACTTTGTCTGACCAGTACAAATCCAACAAATTTTATTATACCAAAAGCATGGGAAAATTACTGCTTCGTAACAACAACATTAAAAACCTTGAAATTGAGAGTTCCAAGTTCTCTTGTGAAGATAAATATACCTTGAAACCACACAATCATGAAATTTAAACAACAAGAGCAATAAAAACAGTAAAATAATAAAAAATAAGAAATTAATAAAAACAATTAAGAAAATGGAACAGCTGATGTATATTCACTTTCTTGAAGCAACACACACAGATTGCTGTTGAGCAATCTTCATAAGATTCTTCATAGATACTTCATAAGTAAAATGAGGATTATTAGAAAGTGTTTCAGTCTGTTTAATTCAGTGCATTGTTTGCCTTTTTTAAATTATTTGTGAATTTTACTGGCAGCTTATGAGTCAGAATTGTTTCAAATTAAATCCCTTTTCCTCTTTTGTGATCTGTCATGTTCCTTGTTTTTATAATTATGCGCAAGCATTTTTACATGTTGATCCTCTTATCACCATCAGGGGCCCCCCTGACATCAGCAGTCTGGTTCCAGTAGGTCCCAAGTACACCCTGAAGTGGAGCGCCCCCTTGCAGCAGGTCCAAGTAGTTGAAGTGGGTCAAGAGGGCTCCCAGACCAAGGACACTCTCTATCAGCTCAGAGGCATCAAGCGCTCAGGCGGCTCTTCGGGATCGGGTAATGGCAACTTTTTTGCCACCGCTACTTTCTAAACAATCAGATAATGCACATCCTTGATGTGAGTCTCCAAGACATTTTGAATTAATTGACCGTTTCTTGTGAGCAATGCACCTTTTTATGGCCTCTGCAGATGAGTGTATCTCAGGCAGGGTAGATAAGAACAACAGAGGCGCACTCTAAGCAATCTTATTTCACTGTCTGATAGACCACAAACATATTCAGCGTGCTGTCATCAGTTTTGGCGCAGTATTTCCACCTCCACTCCCAATCAGAGAAAGCAAGTTCAGGAGATTGGAATCAGGGCTGAACACTCTTACAAAACATTATTGTGTTTTGAGTTAGAAGACGAGGAAGAGGAAAAGAGCAATTGTGGGGCACTAAGATAAATATGCTGACAGAGCTCCAGGTACAAAGTGTTGTCAGGATGTACAGGTTCTGACTGTTTAAGCCTTTTGCTTTCCGAGCTGAAATATTAATGTTGTCGTCTATGGAACACCCATGTTGGATTGTGCACACAGGGGAGCCAGGAAATTAGATGACAGAAGATGTTTAATGCTGGGGCCTAGCAGACAGCTCGCGGGCAGGAGTTGTAGAAGACCTATTATGCCCCCATACCTTATTTCTCTCTGAAATCATTATAAAACAGTGTTCTGTCCAATTTATCTACCTTTGTTCTTTTCCTGCTGTTTTATAACTCAGCAGTAGCCTCCCTAAAACTTCCTATTTCTCATTTCCATATCCCTCAATTCAGTTTAAAGTACTGGCATGATTGTTTGACATTAAATATTGCCAAATAATCAATACAAGAAATAAAAAATTGTGACAGGATAAAATATATAGTAAATATTTAAGATTTTTTTTTGTTTTATTTTATTAATATAAAGGCTGTATTTTTCTATACACTGCCATTCAAAAGTTAGCAGCCAGTAAGATTTAAAAAAAAAAGAAGATTAACACTTTTCTTCAGCAAAGATGCATTAAACTGTCAAGATAACTGTAAAGACATTTATAATGTTACAAAAAAGTGCTGTTCTTTTGAGCTTTTTATTCATCAAATAACCCTCTATTCATCAAAGAATTTCCATTTAACAAAACAATCATTTTCCACAAAAAGTTTAGGCAGCACAACTGTTTTCAACATTGATAATAATAAGAAATGTTTCTTGAGCAGCAAATCAGCATATTAGAATGATTTTTGAAGGATTATGTGATAATAGTAACGGCTACTGAAAATTCAGCCTTGCCATCACAGGAATAAATTCAGACTTGGCGTCCATTGGAATGGACATTACATATTTCGGTGTCTAAACCAATAAAAAATCTCTGATTTCATTGTTTGAATAATGCTTATTACTGATTGGTTCCTGATTATCCAATCACAATGGAGAAATTACTTTTAACTTGATCTGAGACCGCTTCAGACATCAGACAAGACAAGCATGGCTCTGAAGATGCAAGGCCTCTACCTGAAGTGCAGTATGATATGGTTGACCACATGCCAAATTATGATGAGAAGACAGAGACCAGATGCAAGAGGCCATACTGCACAGGGAAAACACATGTATTCTGTGACAAATGCAACATCCACCTTTGCTTTGTGCCACACAGAAACTGCTTCAAGGCTGCTCATCGCAAATGAGAGAATATATGGGAATATCCAGCAGATGTATTTTTGTTATTTTCCATTTGTTAGTAATTGTGTGATCTCTTATTAGCTTACAATGTTAAAAGCTAGCAATGCGTTTGGAAGTTCCATGATAACTGAATGAAAAACTGATTTATTGGGGTTACATTGCCCACGATCATCCAACCCATTCAATCCGCAAACCTCCTATGTTAAAAACATGGCCTTTTTAAATCTAAGATTTCATTGCATTTTACGTTGTTTTAGTCGTGGCGTCCATTGTAATGGACATGAAAAAATACCAATAAAAACATGAGTTATCAAAAATGTTTTTTCCCCCTTTATTTCTATGCTGGAAGGGAGTAAAAATCAACTGGGGAATTTTTTTTTTGCTCCGCAGGAAAAAATCAGGTCTGAAGGGGTTAAAATATATTAAAATAGAAACCAGCTATTTTAAATTATTGATACTGTTTCACAATATTACTGTTTTATTGTATTTTTGATCAAATAAATGCAGCTTTGGTGAGACTTTCAGAAACATTCAAAAATTGTAATGATCCCACACTTTTGAAAAGTAGTGTATCTTTACAGTATTTTATTTTAAAACAAATAATAATAACAGTATAAAATAAAATGTGGAATATGTTTTTGTTTTCTACATACATCTCTCTTATATATCTAAAATGGTCACAGTGAAGGATAAGTTCTCACCAGTCTCATAGTGTGCCACAGAATTTTTCTTCTTTTCAAAGCCTTTTTCTGTGGCTAGACTGGTCACGGAGTCTGTACTTGGTGAGGATCCGTTTTGGTGTCTCTTACTATGTAGAGATAAACGGCAGACTGTCGCTTTCTTCTCTTACTCTGTTCAGGAAGCTCTTTGCACTGTTAGCACACACTTCTGGTTATGTAACAAGAAGTTGCCACTTTAATCACTATTTTCCAGACACCTTTGACGTAGTCTGGTTCACTGTGTCTGAATGTGTCCATCTTCAGCTATTTATAGTAGCACATAGACATACAAGCCTGTTTTGCCTGGTCCGTGCCACATCTCTCCTCCCTTGTGATGTCACTCCATGGGGCTCCTCGTCCAAACCAGATCCCATGCTCCCCCAGCGTACCTTAAAATGGACTAATTTTTCATCTCCTGCAGGCCCTAGTGTCCTAATTTATTGATGGAATAGACCAACATTCTAGGAAAAGGCAGACCCTCTGCTGCTGCCACTGTAAAGCAGCACAAAACAACGGCATGCTTCAAATCATAATTACAATAAATTAACTATAAAATATGTTAATAATAGGCATGCTAATAAGGAACTAGTTAATAGTGAGACTTGGTCCCTATACTAAAGTGTTACCTTTGTATTATTATTAGATTGTTGTAAGAAACTATATTATAATGTATCTAATATAATGTTAATACATATATAATATATATTTTAGACTATTATTATATTATATTATTCTAGGCTGTTATTATTATTTTTATTAATAATAATAATTAATCATTATTATTAGAAGAACAAGAAAATATTTTTTTATGTATTATTTATTTATATTGTTTTAAGATAAATTATGATAATAATAATCATTTGTTATTATTGTTGTTTTTATAAAAAATAATTATGATATTCTAAATATTGTTTTTATATAATTTTTTACTTGCTGTATTTTTTATATGAATTGTGCATATTTTGATTGATAAAATATCTACATTTAATAGCTACATTTATATTTATATATTTACTTTGTAGTTTTAATTTGGCATCACACTATGGTCTCTGGACGTTATCACAGTATTGTTTGCTCAGCGGTCATGCACATCATTTTTAGATTTGTTTAAACATGTGCCAGACAGATCCTTGCTAAAATTATACACGTAAAAGCTCTCGGTTAAACTCAGTGTATTGATGTCGGTTAAAGAGCACAGATTTGAATGAGAAATCCAAATTTGAGCTGCCCTTCTGGCAACAGCTTTGTTGACTTTAGGCTTTGGACTTCCGTATTGTGCCTGCATAGGCCTCCGCTGGCGGCCGCCCAGCGTGTGTGTCAGTTTACATATGACAATGTGTTTGAGAGAGATAGAGTAGTGGAAATGGCAGATTACCATGCCATAGTGTGAAAAAACAGATCCCGGCACACCAACTGGATTAGTCTGGATTACAAGTCAGCACATTCACCTGAGGCCAAGGTGGGCCACAAGCCCACAAACCTGTAGGCCCGCCCAAGGCCTTGCCACAGCAACCAGAAGAGCACGTCGACTCTGCCAGCTTGCGCTGTAGGGGCTCACTGTGCCTTTTTTTTATTCAAATGTGCCTGCTATTGATCAAGCTGTGCCAGTGACAGATGTCTCCGTGGCTGTGTGAGTTGAAGACCCTATTAAATTTCTAAAGGTTAGAGAGAGACAGACAAAACAACGAGAGAAAGATATAGAGGTGTAGAGAGAAGTGGATGGAAGCCTAGACAGAGAGTGAAAGTCACAAAGACAGGTATAGAGAACCGAGAGAGAGGGAAATGGTGTGTCAGAGACAGAGAGAGATCTCTGACAGACCTTCCAGCACTACTTCGAGAATTAGGTTGAGCTGGGAGCCAACAAATGCTCGCGCTGCCCCAATTCTGCACACAGGTCACCTGATTATGTGGAGGTGCTGAAAGGCCAGACAGTCCTGCGGTCTGCGCATCCAGCTCCGGGATTTAATTACACTCCTCATTCCTGGGCTATTGGTCGGACGCGTAGAGCACATTCACCTCGGCTATTGATTCTGCAGGCAGAGACCGGAGACCGCAAAAAAGTGAATGGGGATTCAAATCGATGGTACATTTCACATCTAATGAGACACCTGCGTTCGTTTCATCACCCTTAAAGGGCTTCATATTTCTAAATGGCTTCATTTTATACTCTGCTTCTCTTCCCTATAGCATTAACCGGTGTGGCTACACAAACAATGGGAGATCGATCTGTCTTCGGTATCGATTCTCTTTGTTAGTGGCGCTACTGGAGAGTATTGACAAATTAAAGTTTTGTCATAGACCCCAAGTCTGTAAAAGTTAAGGCGTTTGATTTTGTTTCGATTTGCATTTGGGCAAATATTCAAGCAGAACTTAGAGCAGTGTTCCCCAACCTTTTTTCTGCCGTGGCACAGTTTTGATAAGTAAAAAATCCCACGGCACACTACTAAGCACTTAAAAAAAACAAATAGAAAGGGGGAAAGTTTTTTTCCCCCCAATAATTAAACAATGCGTTGTCAAAGTTGGTATTTTGGCTTTATATATGACTAGACTCTTGGACTTAACATTTTCTGAAAATCATGCTCAAATGGAGTTAACGAGGTTTTTGACGAGCGAATGACAGTCTGTCATTAGAACGGCCGCATCTGAGGCATTAAATTACGTTTTCATCAATTTACACTTACAGGTTATAAAGTGTAGCTATACAGGCGCACAGTTTTTCTTGTTGTTTAATACATTTGGCCAAAATTTCATGAGATAAAAGAAGAACCGCTATGCACAGTATATTTGAAACGTACAAAAGTATATTGGCTACAAGTAGACGGCAAATGTTCAGACTCTTCTCCACTCTTCAAACACACAGAAACATTAACATAGTCTTTACAGTCAGTGTTTCTTGAGTAAAAAAAAAATGCTGTACTTATTCAGACATCAGTTTACGGGACTTTATTTACCGAGCCGTCCTGACTCGATTACATATTCGAATGATTCAGCACCTTTATGGGAACCCATATCCACAGAAATACCATCTCAGCTTTCAAGAACCCTGGATTGCAGGTGCTTTTTGCACTCATGCTCTGATAAAGCATGGTGTGAAATTGAAGTACTGGATAAGTGAAGCTGGTTATTTTTGATTGACAGGAAGTATCTTTCTGGGTCCGCCCCGTCTGTATCAGGAACTGCAGGGGTTGCAGCATGACCTCTCAGTGGTAGAGCAGGTCACTCTGCTTGTGGGGACTTTACAGGGAACGTACCAGGTAAATACTCATTCATTACTACATGTACGGTGGGCCATGATGTCTTTGAACCCTTAAGTGGGAACTTGAATGGAACTGATGTTATACATTAAAAATCACCATTGGGCGGAGTTAGTTAAAATCAATTGTAAAAATGGCTCATAAACTGACCCATATCCACAGAAATACCATCTCAGCTTTCAAGAACCCTGGATTGCAGGTGCTTTTTGCACTCATGCTCTGATAAAGCATGGTGTGAAATTGAAGTACTGGATAAGTGAAGCTGGTTATTTTTGATTGACAGGAAGTATCTTTCTGGGTCCGCCCCGTCTGTATCAGGAACTGCAGGGGTTGCAGCATGACCTCTCAGTGGTAGAGCAGGTCACTCTGCTTGTGGGGACTTTACAGGGAACGTACCAGGTAAATACTCTTCATTACTACATGTACGGTGGGCCATGATGTCTTTGAACCCTTAAGTGGGAACTTGAATGGAACTGATGTTATACATTAAAAATCACCATTGGGCGGAGTTAGTTAAAATTAATTGTAAAAATGGCTCATAAACTGAAGTTTGTGATAAATAAATAAATTATACATTTCATATGTTTTAAATATATGTGACCCCGGACCACAAAACCAGTTATAAGGGTAAATTTTTTGAAATTGAGATTTACATATCATCTGAAAGCTGAATATATAAGCTTTCCATTGATGTATGGTTTGTTAGGATAGGACAATATTTGGTCGAGATACAACTATTAAACAAATCCGGAATCTGAGGGTGCAAAAAAAATCAAAATATTGAGAAAATCACCTTTAAAGTTGTCCAAATTAAGTCCTTAGCAATGTATATTATTAATCAAAATAAAGTTTTAAAGGGGTCATATGATGTTGCTAAAAAGAACATTATGTTGTGTATTTGGTGTGATGCAATGTGTTTATGCGATTTAAGGTAAAAAAAAACACATTATTTTCCACATATTGTACATTATTGTTGCTCCTCTATGCCCCGCCTTTCTGAAACGCGTCGGTTTTTACAAAGCTCATCTGTCTGAAAAGCGAGGTGTACGCTGGTTGGCCAGCGATCCAGTGTGTTGTGATTGGCTGAATACCTCAAGCGTGTGACGGAAATGTTACGCCCCTTAACAGACTGTGATGCCGTCTCCCGTAGCGCCGATACAAAACCATTAAAACCGATCCGGCGATCCACAGCGTGAAGTTGATGTATTTCCTCAGCGACCAGCACGGATCAGCTCTAGGCATGACAAAGCAGATATCGTCCTCTTTTGGAAGGCCAAACAAAGTAATTTCGCTTTCACAACGAAACACGTAGCGTCTTCACGACATGGCGGCAGCAACAACAATACTACAGCGAGAATAAAAGTTACGCCTTCTATCTTTGCGTTAACATTTGGGAGGTGTTATGCAAATCTTCCCACACAGTGATGTAGACATGTGGGGGCATGCTTAAACGAGGCGTTTTAGGAGGGCGTGAAGTCTTAACTGTTATGAAGAATATCTCTTTGGATTGGAGACTTTAGTCTTTGCAACTTTACAGATCTATGACAAAGCAGATATCGTCCTCTTTTGGAAGGCCAAACAAAGTAATTTCGCTTTCACAACGAAACACGTAGCGTCTTCACGACATGGCGGCAGCAACAACAATACTACAGCGAGAATAAAAGTTACGCCTTCTATCTTTGCGTTAACATTTGGGAGGTGTTATGCAAATCTTCCCACACAGTGATGTAGACATGTGGGGGCATGCTTAAACGAGGCGTTTTAGGAGGGCGTGAAGTCTTAACTGTTATGAAGAATATCTCTTTGGATTTGAGACTTTAGTCTTTGCAACTTTACAGATCTTCTTTATGCACCAAGAGCTTGTAACACTCCAAAGAGAAAGGACAATTTTTAATTGCGTCATATGACCCCTTTAATATATTTACAGTAGGAAATTTACAAAATATCTTCATGGAACGTGATCTTTACTTAATATTCTAATGATTTTTTGTCATAAAATAAAAATGGATACTTTTGACCCATACATTGTATTGTTGGCTAATATACCCATGCTACTTATGACTGGTTTTGTGTTCCAGGGTTACATATAATGTATATGTATAATGTATACTTGGGTCTGTGAATTTTTTTTTTTAAAGTTTTTGAAAGGAATTTAATTAACTTTTTTTATTTTAATATATCATGAAGTGTAATTCATTCCTGTGATGCAAAAATAAATTTTCAGCATTATTACTCCAGTGTCACATAATCCTTCAGAAATTATGTTAATATGCTGATTTATGATAATATTTATTATTATTGTATGTTGTGCTGCTTAATATTTTTGTGAAAACGATGATACATTTTTTCAGGACTCTTTGATGAATAGAAAATTCAAGGGAACAGCATTTATTTGAAACAGAAATATTTGTAGCATTATAAATGTCTTTACTGTCATCAATTTAATATGTCCTTGCTGAATAAAAGTTCCAGTTTCTTAAAAAAAAAAGAAGAAAAAACTGAACCTAACTGACCCAAAGCATTTGAATGGTATTGTAAGTTAATGTGTATATTCACTTACATATATTAATTTTAAAATAAGATCAGATGTGTTTTTGAATAAATAAACAGAATTTTCATTATGAAAATGCCCAAGTGTCCAAGAATGATGAAAAAAACAACATCCAGGAAAAGATCAAGGTAGAATACAATAAAAAGCAAAACAAAAGCAGTATTAGTCACATATGATACAGCTATCTAGGGATGGAAGCCTTTGGGGTAACAGAGTTTTCAACGTAATTAAATTGAGATCAAAGTTCGTCAGCATCATCAATTGATTATCATGGCATCCGCTTGATAGTTGGACGACAACATGGGGAAACCTTCATAATCTGATCCAGAGTTAATGTTTAGATGGGAGATAGCTCTGAACAGCATGTCTACATAGCACAAAGCTGCTCTCAAATCAGGACAGCTCCCCTTATGGCTTGACAGTCACTAAACCAGTACAAAAACAGCTAGATTGCTTCTTTTACATCTGAGTGTTAGTAACAGAGCTTTGTCTTGCATGGTTTCCTGACCATAACCATGCCATTGGCCTTTCTCCAAATTACTAATTCCTACCCACAATCTAATCAGAATATAAATGCGCAGCGAATAGAGAATGAATGAACTTCTGCAGACCTCATTGATTTTGGAGATGTATTTTATTTGGATTTGGCTTTTGGGCGGTATGAATAATTTTGTTTATGAGAAGGAAACCTTTATTATTTCATCAATACTTGGAGGCCAAAAACATAGTTAACATAACAACAAAAAACAATAAAGACTTCTACATTTAATGTGATATGATGCTGTGGTTTTCACCTGGTCAGCTGTGCTAAATGCATATAATCAAAATTGACTTGCCAAATGTGGCAGTAAAGACATTTATGATTGTACAAAAAAAGTATATTCCAAATACTGTAAATGCTGTTCATTTGAGCTATTTATTAATCAAAGATTCCTGAAAAAATGTATCATGGTTTCCACAAAAATATTAAGCAGCACAACAGTTAGAAACATTGATAATAAGAAAAAAAAATGTTTCTTCAGTTCCAAATCAGCATATTAGAATGATTTCTGAAGAATCATGTGCCACCGAAGACTGGAGTAATGGAGTAAAATTCTGCTTTGCCATTAATTACACTTTATAATAAATTGTAAAACAAGTATTTAAATTGTATTTAAATTGATATTTCACAATATTACAGTGTTCTGTATTCTTGGTTAAAAGTAGTTATTTTAGTTAAAATGCAGCTTTGGTGAGACTTTCAAAAACATTAGTGTAGTCATTAATACTGTAGTTAGGATAGCCCAAAAAAAAAAAAAAAAAAAAATATATATATTAGGCTTATGCACAGTTCATTGTTTTCACAGCATTTTTATACAATATTGGTACAGTGTTGGGTCACCATTTAATGTCCAGTGTGAAATCAAGGTCTTAAAGCACATCTGTGTTGGCTGGGATCACAATTGTCTTTGTTTTCTGTGTTTATAGAATCTGAACACCACTGTTGCACAGGACTGGTGTTTGGCACTGCAAAGGCTGATCCGCATCAAGGAGGACCAAATTCAGAGCGCCAACAAGTGCCGTTTACGATTGCAAGTCCCTGGCAGACCAGACAAGTAAGTAAACGGGGCAAAAGCTTCTTTGCATGTTGACAAAGTGAATAATTTTTTTTTTCAGCAGCCTCAACAAAATGCAAAAGAGCACATGCTGATGCATTCAGGTATTTGTTATAGCCAATTCAAAAGACACATTTTCCTCTTCTTGTTCGCCTGATAGATTGCATTTGCCTCAAGAAAGTAGTAAGTAGTAAGACATGTTGCTAAAAGGCTTTTGAGGTCTAAACAAGAAAAATCAATTTAGTCTCGATTACACCACAGCTGGATTTCAGACTGGCAGTTTTGCACATTCTCTGGAGCAGGTGATCCCAAGCGGTACTGAAACATAATGGCCGATGTTAATGTTCGTCTGCAACAACATTAAGATGATGAAGGAGCCCGGCGCCATGTTAATTTCCCCTAATGAAAGCGCATTACCCGGCTTTGTTTGCGGCGTGTGTTAAAAGCCTGCCCCATGTCACCTTTAACGAAGCCGAGCAGCAAATTACAAGCCTAATAGCATGACGGGAAATCATTAAGTGATAGTTCTTAGATTCGGGAGATCAAGGAATGCTGGAGGTAAAGTTACACAGCTCCTTTCAGTCTGGGAAGTGCTACATTATGGCTAGTCATAGAGCTTATTCAATTCATTTAACTTAGTCTGGGAGCTGCTGTTTCCCATTTGGAGCAGTAGTGTCATTTCTCTTTGATGCGTAGACAGGGGCTTTAATGTACTCTTATTATGTCACATTAAGAGTCAGTGACTGTAAATGTGTCAAGGCAGAGGCTGCACATTTTTCACAGTGCACTGCACCTGAATGTGCTTATCGTAATGATGCAGAGTGAGAGCGGAAACTTCACTCATAGAATCGGCCGTGGAAGGAAGAGAAATGAAGACAGATTAGTAGAGGATTCAACTAAGAAAAGAGCTGAAGAGATGGGGAGAACATGAGAGAAGAGAAGCAGAGAGAAAGGGAAGATAAACTGTAAAGCATAGAGCAGTTGACTTTCATTTAAAGGTCCCATATTGTCAAAACTGAAATTTCCTGGCTTTTTTCACGATAACTGAGGTCTAGAGGCTATTTAACTACCATATAAGTTTCAAAACAGTCAGTCCACAGTAAAATTCACACAGCCTGCATAAAGTAGCTGTGATTTTTCACGAACCGTTGTGACTTCCGTAAAAAGTTGAC